CTTCCTCATTTTTGCTCATGATCAACAGGCAGGTCACTGTAGTTTGTGAAAATCTGCCTGGGTTCATAAGTCTTTCTGTCTGTCTCTCTTTTCATCTGTAGTTTTGTTTATATATTCATCTGTTTGTCCGTCCATCTATCTTATCTATCTATCTATCTATCTATCTATCTATCTATCTATCTATCTATCTATCTATCTATCTATCTATCTATCTATCTATCTATCTATCTATCTATCTATCTATCTATCTATCTATCTATCTATCTATCTATCTATCTATCTATCTATCTATCTATCTACTTACTAACCTATCTGTCTTTCTTTCTATCTGTCTCACTGTTTATCTCCCTGTATGTCTTTTTTTGTCTGTATGTACTTTTATAAATCTGCCTTCCTTTTCTGTTTGTCTGTCTGTCTGTCTGTCTGTTTGTTTTGATATTTGTCTCTCTGACTGACCAGCCGACTGTTTATATCTATCTATCTGTCTGTTTGCTTATATATTTATCTGTCTGTTTATGTATTTGTATGCTTGTCTGTCTGTCTTTTTGTCTGCTTTTATTTTTATCAGTCTATCTATCCAACCATTTATGTATCTGTCTTTCTGTTTCTATATGTTTATCTGTCTGTCTGACTATCTATCCAACCATTTTTAAATTTATATATCTATTTGTTTAAATATTTATGTCTATCTGTCTGTTTATTTATATATTTATATCTGCCTATCTATCCAACTATTTATTTATCCATCCATCCGTCCCTCTGTCTGTCTATTGTATTATCTATTGTTCTATCTGTTTATATCTATCTGTCTGTCCAACCATTTATATATCTATCTATTTATATATTTTTACATCTGTCTGTCTGTTTATATATTTATCTCTCTGTCTATCTATCCAACCATTTATATTTATCTGTCTGTTTATATATTTATGTCTATCTGTCTGTTTATTTATATATTTATGTGTCTGTATGTCTGTATATATTTTACCTTTCTGTCTATCTATCCAACCTTTTAAATATCTATCTGTCTGTTTATATATTTATCTGTCTATCTGTCTTTTTATATATTTATCTGTCTATCTGTTTGTTTATATATTTATCTGTCTATCTGTCTTTTTATATATTTATCTGTCTATCTGTTTGTTTATATATTTATCTGTCTATCTGTCTGTTTATATATTTATCTGTCTATCTGTTTGTTTATATATTTGTCTTCGTCTATCTAACCAACTGTTTATGTGTATCTAAATATATTTATTATTCTATTTATTATACTGTTCACAGTATGTCTGATAATATTTATCTATCCATCCATCCATCCATCCATCCATCGATCCATCCATCCATCCATCCATCGATCCATCCATCCATCCATCCATCCATCCATCCATCCATCCATCCATCCATCCATCCATCCATCCATCCATCCATCTATCTATCTATCTATCTATCTATCTATCTATCTATCTATCTATCTATCTATCTATCTATCTATCTATCTGTCTGTCTACAGTACGTGTCTGTCTGTTTATATATTTTTATCTGACTGGCTGTCTGTTGTTACAGTTTGTTGTTTGTCTTTCTGTCTATACGTGCACATATATGTGTACCTATATATGTGTCCTTCCTTTCTCTTCACCACATATATGGTCACATTAGTTTCATTTCCTTAAAATATGCTATCTCTCTCTCTATCGTTCTCTTTCTCTCTCTCCAGTGTGAAGCGCAGTGTGTGTCAGAAAGTGTTGTGAGATTTCCATAAATGCTGTTTGTGCCGGTGTGGCCTCTGCTGCATGCGCCGCTCGCTGTGAATACTGATTTGGAGTCTTACATCAGCTCAGGTTCAGTGTGAATATGCTAAGCTGGCACTAATGCCGCAGAGAGCCGTTACATAAGACCTGACCGCTCAGACTCATTAGAGCTCGCTGTTTTTCACCAATACTCCCCCTCCCTTTCTCTTTCTCTCTCTCTTATAGAATTCACTCATTCTGCGCAATCTGATAGTAGGAGGGGAATGAAATGAAACTGTGTAACCTCTGAACGACCTCCTGAAGTTTGAGAAGTCTCAAGACGAGCGAGCGAGAGAGAGGGAGAGGGAAACACTGAAAAGCGAGAGCGCCTTGTTTAACTGAAAGCGAGAATGATGGTATTAAAAGGAAGTAGAACAGCTGTAACCATGGAGACCAGCTAAGTGGAAAGATGATGATGATGATTTTTATTTTTTGTGAAGGATGAGTTGGTATTCTGTGAAAAAAGAAGGACATGAGGGAACAAAAGGTGAGCGAGAGTGCAGCAAATATATAGAAAGTATAGTGTCAGGGTGATCAAACCTGCATGTTTAATTGAGTTAAACAGAACGAGTGCAGGGTGTGAGATGGAGCGGTGTTTGTTGGGGTGCGAATGGGTCAGTGGGGGGGTTATACAGTCCAAAAAATAGGTCACGATTTTGTCATCTTTCTAGTTCATCTGTACATGGGTGTTGTTTCTTAGGCTTTTATTACATTGTATCTGGATGATATTAGATCCAGCTGCTATCTTTCTCTGCTTTCTTGCTTTGTCTCTTTCTTTCTTTCCATTTTATCATCTGTAAGGAGACACGCTGATGGAGACTGGAGGAAGAGTTATATATTTTTTGTTTGAAAGTACGTCTGCACTTTCTCAGAAAACTTTTATATTCCCCTGAGGAACTTTTAGTTCACCCACAAAGTATGGAATAGTTTAGTGTGTGAACATAATTTTTTTATCTAATTTTTCCCTGCCACTTTTTCTAATTTTCCTTACTCAAAAACCACATCAACATGAACAAATCATGTTGAACTTGATACATCACATCATGTTGAACATGATACATCACACTTTTTTCACATGAAAATGCTCCTAAACCACACAGACAGTCTGTTAAAAGAGTATTATAGTGTTTTTTCTTTTGCGCTCACTAGGGCTGCATTATTCATTCATTCATTTTCCTTCGACTTAGCCCCTTTATTCAAAAGGGGTCAACACAGCGGAATGAACCGCCAACTTATCCAGCATATGTTTTCCACAGCGGATGCCCTTCCAGCTGCAACTAAGTAAACTCATTCACTCTCACAGTCACACACACACATAAGACTCTATTTTAATGATCTAGGCGCAAAGTTCGGCTTCTTTACTTTCTCTGTACTTTTACTCTTTACTCCTTTACATTCGTTGTTAAGGAAACAGTGTTGTATGCACTCCACTGAAGACATTTATTAGCCTACGTATTTAATTTCTTGGTTAAGACCAAAGATTAATTTCAAAACTATTTCTAAATTCAGTTCGAATGTCCAGCAAATTAAAAAAATTAACAATAATAACGAAGTGTTATATCCAAACACACATCCTATTCTTATGCCCCATATGGGGATGCATACTTTAAACCTTCTTTCTGTTGGTCAATGACGTGGTCTATTTCAGTTTCTCAAAATAGCAACGCGCCAACAATGTGCCTTAATACCTCCTTTTTAGACTGGAACACCCATGAGTCCACAAAGTGGCACAAATGGATTTGCTACTTAAACAAAATGTTGCAAAACAGGAAAATTAGGGTTGCACTTGTCTAAAAATAGCAACAACTCGCACTAAACACATCTTGCACCCTAATGCGCTGAGTGTATGATAGGACCCATTCACTACGGCCAATTTAGTTTATTCAATTCACCTATAGCAGATGTCTTTGGACTGTGGGGGAAATCGGAGCACCCGGCGGAAACCCACGTCAACACGGGGAGAAAGAACATGCAAACTCCACACAGAAATGTCAACTGACCCAACCGGGACTCAAAGCAGCGAACTTGCCACCCAAGTTGTATTAATTTAGTCAAAAACACAATAAAAAACTGTAAATTTATTAAACCTTGTTTGAATTTAAAATAACTGCTTTTAACTGGCGTTTTTGGTCAAATATTGTGTAAGTCTGTGTTCATTAAAGGTGTGTGTTTGTGTGCGTTTATGTTGCAACATAGGCTTTTTCTGAAAATGTAGCCCAATATACATTTCTGGAGATCACAAATTATGTAGCCAGAAATACATATGTCTGCATTTCATCTTTAAAACAAACGCTATGGGGCGGTATCACTAGGTTTGTCCAATGGCTCGCCGTGTACGTCGGTGGGCTTGGGATGCATAGAGGAGTCGACCGTGACAACAGGGTTTATGTACAGTGAAGAACAGTTCTTCTGTAGATCGGAAATTATGTAGCCAAAAGTATGAATAGCTGCATTTCGTCATACCACGATACAGTGTGGTATGATGATATTCCTTTTCGCACTTAACAGCTAACCGCTTACCTCCGGATGGCCAGCATACCTCTGTATGGACAGCACATCAGCCTTTAGCTGGTTCACAAAAACTAAAACTGCAAAAAGCAAAGCTCCTGGGACGTATTTGGTGCTCTCCAGAACTGCATATAGAGGTATATAATCAGAATGAGTCTGGGTTGTGCAATTCACAATCATACATAAATGGAAAACACCTGTGAATCACAAAATAAGGAAACTGTAAATTAACCGATATTTTTTTAATTAGAAAAGTCATTGTATAACGATGGTTTGTTATGTAGAAAGTCCAAAAATATTGCTAATAATATTGACCTTAAAATATATTTTTTTTAATTAAAAACTACTCTTGTTCTAGCCAAAATAAAACAAATAAGACTTTCTCCAGAAGAAAAATTATTATAGGGAATAATGTGAAAAATTCCCTGTTTTGTTAAACATCATTTGTAAAATATTTAAAAAAGAAAAAAATTACAGGAGAACGAATCATTTTGACTTCAACTGTACATACAGTGAAGCTCCTTTAACGGTTTTGATTTGCTCTCAGTGGAGTTTGGGTTTAGGTGTTAGTCAAATCTATTATCTGTCTGAGATGTTCAGAAAATGGAAGAATACAAGCGGCATGTGTGCTACAGCATGCAGAAGCATTGTGGGTGTTTCTGCTGATCAGCCTATCCCTGCCGATATATGGGTCAGACTCACATGGCACTGCATGCTGCTTGACTCAACACCAGTAAACAGGCTTGCTTGCTCATTCGTTTCCATGGCAACACCGTCCTGCCCTTTCGCTGCCTTCTCAATGGCTCCCCGAACATCTGCTTTCTCTTGCAGAATGAACATTTCAGAGAAATTTGCCTTCCAAATGAGAGACACATCACTCATGTCTGCTTTTATTTACCTTGTCGGTCAGTGACGTGTTGGGTTATTTGCCAAGTGGGTCAAAACGCATGTCATTTTGCTTGTTGTTCTCATTCGTTTACTCCATATGGGTGTGACTGCACAGTCTGTGCTGACATTTAGTCTGGTGATTGAGCAGTTTTGAAGCGCATTATTCTCTTTTGAAAGGCACAGGTAGAACAAACGGAGATGTTGTCAATAGCCTTTGTTGACCCAAGCTATACATGCCAGTCATACAACATTCTATAGAAATGCTGTGTTATTTACATCCAAATTTGGGTCAAATATGAACAAACCCAAGCTTTTGTTTACTTTTTATTTTCATTTTCATTTAGAAAAATACCTAAATCCTTACAACAAAAGGATGGACCTTATACCTGTATCACACTTCACTTGGAAGTACTCTATCACAGTAAATTTAACTTAATCTAGCATGGTAAAAAAAAAACTCAAACCTGTTGTTCGCAGATAATATTGTTCTGTTGGCTTCATCGAACATGGACCTTCTGCATGCACAGGGGCAGTTTCTGACGCGGCTGCAATGAGAACCAGCACCTCCAAGTCCAAGGCCATGGTGCTTCACTGGAAAAAGGTGGTCTGCCATCTCCAGAAAAAGTCCTTACCCCAGATTGAGGAGCTCAAATATCTTGGGGTTTTGTTCATGAGTGAGGAAAGGATGGAACTTGAGATTGACATGCGGATCGGTGCAGCAATAAATGCAGTTGATGTACCAGTTTGTTGTGGTAAAGAAGGAGCTGAGCTGAAAGGAAAAGCTCTTGGATTTACCAGTCAGTTCCTACTCTCACCTATGGTCATGAGCTTTGGGTCATCACTGAAAGGACAAGATCTCAGATACAAGCAGCCGAAATGAGTTTCCTTCGCAGGGTGGCAGGGCACACCCTTATAGATAGGGTGAGGAGGTCTGTCACCCGGGAGGAGCTCAGAGTGGAGCCACTGCTCCTCCACATCGGGAGAGGTCAGCTGAGGTGGTTCGGGCATCTGTTTCTGATGGCCTACCCAGGAAGGTGTTCCAGGCATGTCCCACCAGGAGGAGACCTTATGGAAGACTCAGGACACGCTGGAGGGACTACTGTATGTCTCTCAGCTGGCCTGGGAACACCTCGGGATCTCCCGGGAGGAACTGGAGAAAGTTTCTGGGTAGAGGGAAGTCTGGGGTTCACTACTAAGACTGCTGCCCCCATGATCCGGCCCCGGAAAAACGGATGAAAATGAATGAATGAATGAACTCAAAACCCTAGGGGAGAACGCGGACGAAACTATAATTTTTCATAACGATAGAAGAAGTTTTTAGCAGACATATATTTTTGCTGTTTCTAACTTACAAAAGTTAGTAAAATCAGGCGTTCTATTAAAATCAGGTGTTATTTTGTAATAATGTAGAAAACGTCCAATATAATTTCACTTTAAGCAAAAGTTGCACATTGTTACTATTGACTCCGACAGCAGAGACGAAAGTAACACACGGCTGAGTCAAGAGTAACACAACAATATTTGCTAGATTTACTAACTTAATCTTGTTTAATTAAAATATATGAGACTGTGACCTTGTTAAGGTTAACTGCAAACATATTTTGTCATAAATAAAAACATAAATAAAAATATTTAATTTCATTTAAATTTCAGCTCCATTAAATATTTCAAATGCAATCCAACAATACAAAATGTTTTTGAATATTTTTTATTATTATTGGCAATATGCATTCATTTTTTAAAACATCTAAATTTAAGTGTAGTTAATTTATAAACTAATTTTGAGAGGATCATGTGCTTATGATTGCTTGCGGCTGGTTCCGCGTTATCAAATTTATGATTCACCAATCAGACGATTCCTCAGCCACTATAAATACCCCAAGTTCCATATCACAGCCATCTTCATTTTGAAGAATCCTCCCTTCCACCCATACTCCTCCTCCTTACCTAGATGGGTGATGCGGTGGCCCAGTGGTTAGCACTGTTGCCTTACAGCAAGAACGTCACTGGTTCTAGTCCTTACCAAGCCAGCCAATGTTTTTGTGCGGAGTTTACACATTCTCACCATGCTCACGCGGGTTTCCCCCGGGTTCCCCAGTTTTCTCTCATCGTCCAAAAACACGCAACTTAAGTTAAATGACTAATCCAAATCACCACCACAGACATGCTCCTAGTCAGTAGTTTTCTCTTAAGAGCAATCCATATCTGTTCATTAGCTACTACAGCAGGGGAGTTCTTGGGATTACCTGAGCTTAAACTCCCCTATAATGTTGCAAACGGGAGGGAGCCCTGGGCTCGAGGATCTTATGAGTTCAAGACTCTCTCCCGGGACAACATGCCAAACAACCTTTATAATCAATTATCAGCTAAGTGTGAACTCTTGAAATAATGAAAACTCTAATGTGGAAGTGAAAAATAAGGCATGGCTATCAGCAGTGGGACCTAAATAATGGTGTTGCTTTCGTCCCCACAGAAACTCTTGCTATTCAAACCTGATTTACTTTTTAAAATGAAAAACTCTTTAAATTCTTAAAATGAAAAGACACTTTAAACTGAAGGATGTGTTATTGCACTAAACAACCTGTAGATTGATCATTAGTGTGACACATGAAAAGAGAAACTTGTACTAAGGAAAAATTTTACTTCTCCAACAATAATTTACTTTTTGCACTTCAAACAGAAATTTGGAGCTAACCGAGATACACAGTCCCAAAATTTGCTGATATTTGGCAGCTCCATCAAGGGTTGCATGCTGAATGTGCTGTTATTGACCTTATTCTGCAATGCGGAAGTGCGCTCATTTTGCAATTGTTTTAGTACTTCCGATTCTGCAGCCTATGAGAGAAATGACTAGGAATAATAAACTGCAGAAAACGGTCAAACTACTTGCTGTACAAACAAGTGTTTGCATGATTATACAAACAAAGCAGAATAATATGAGAAAATATCAATTTGCAACATCAAGCAGCATAATGAGCTGTTTTCAATGTCTAAAATGAATGGAAGTGAATGAGACCGGAAATCTCAAACCAAAAATATTCCAATGGCTGCGCCTGCTTTTATGCAGAGAATAAGGTGAATAGCCTGGAAAGCAAATTACTTTAGCCGCATGTTACATTCGTCCCCGCCATCCCTTAAGTCCCACCCCACCCATCTAACACAGATTAAAATGTTTGTAGAAGATTAAATAAATTAAAAAATAAATAAAAGGCATATTATATATCAATAATATGTAGTTTTTTTTTTACAATTGTACAATAATACAATTGTAATAACACAGAAGTGGCTAGGGCAAAAATTAAAGCAAAGTGAACATGGGCAGTAAATCCAAATGAGACAAAGTAAATATAAAATAAATAATTAAATAAAATATATAAATAAATCAACATACAATAGTCTTGTGAAAATCTATAGCATTTCAGTCTATCTGTAACCCAAGTTTTTTAATCCATTGGTTGGGGTTCATCCATATTTTATTTAAAATTGAGTTGCAATAATCAAACATGTTAGACCATAAAGAAGTCAACAATGCATTGCTATTTCAAAGTTATCCAAATGTATTCTATATACCAAGATCTATTGAATACTGCCAGCTAGATAATCAGAGATGCATTACTCATATACAGTTTAAGTAAAAGCTATTCGCCCTCCTGTGATTTTTATTTTTGTATTGTTTCCCAAATGATGTTTAATAGAGCAAGGATTTTTTTCACAGTATTTCCTATAATATTTTTTCTTCTGGGGAAAGTTTCATTTGTTTTGTTTCGGCTAGAATGAAAGCAGTTTTTAATTTTTTAAACACCGTTTTAAGGTCTATATTATTAGCCCGCTTAAGCAATATTTGTTTTCGATTGTCTACAGAACAAACCATCGTAATACAATGACTTGCCTAATTACTCTAACTTGCCTAATTAACCTAGTTAAGCCTTTAAGTGTCTCTTTAAAGTGCATAGAAGTGTCTTGAAAAATATCTAGTCAAATATTATTTACAGTCATCATGTCACAGATAAAATAAGTCAATTATTAGAGATAAGTTATTAAAACTATTATGTTTAGAAACGTGTTGGAAAATATTCCTTCCCTTAAACATAAATTGGGAAATGCTTGTTGCTTGTTATGCTTGTTTTTCTCTTTCATTTACTTTTTCTTTTCATGACTGACCAATCAAAATCAAGCATTCCAGAGAGCCACACAATAATCCCGGTGATAACAACCAATTAAACTTACAACACAGGCTCATCTGCGCACTATGAATCATCTTGAGCATTATTAAATATATCCATGTATATGCTAATCTGTCACTTTTTTGACTCTTCCTGAAGTTGAATCAAATTAACCTCATGAATCATTTTAGCTTTAATCAATTAAACAGACTATTATAACTTATAAAATTAGGTTAGAAACATGATTCATTTAGATTAGATAATATAAGATATAATTAACATAGATGGCATGGTGGCTCAATGGTCGCCTCACAGCAAGAAGGTTGCTGGTTCAAGTCCCGGCTGGACCAGTTGGCGTTTCTGTGTTCAGTTTGCATTGTCTCCCCGTGTTCATGTGGGTTTCCACTGGGTGCTCCGGTTTCCCCCACAGTCCAAACACATACGCTATAGGTGAATTTAATCATTTTCCAGTTATGGGTTGTGGCTGGAAGGGTATTCGCTGCGTAAAACATATGCAGCAATATAGTTGTTGTTTTATTCCACTGTGGCAACTGAAATAGAGACTAAGCCGATAGAAAATAAATGAATAATCAACATAAAAACGTGCTTTTTTTTCATATATGATTTTTTTACAGTGTAGCTTATTTAAGGCAGGGGTTGGCAAATAAGTTTGTCATCTGAATGTTCATTATTCTTTACTTAAAGTCATTGAGTATTTTTTCATTGAGTATTTTTGATGCATATTTCTGCCTGGTTGATGCATATTACTGCCTGAAAGGTACAGGTAAAATAGATGTTGAATACTGTAGATGCAAAGATGTCATATTGATG